TTTTCAAAAAGAAAAAAGAAAAAAAAAAATTACACAAGCTCTTAATCACTCAGATAACAGTTTTCACAAAGTCTTTGTATAGAGAATTTTCTCTTTTTTTTTTGTTTTTCATTCTTTTATCTTCTTTCTAAAATTTCTTCGGTTTTCTTTAAAGGGTATTTTTAAAAGCATTTTTATTATTATTTTTATTATTATTATTATTATTATTATTATTATTTATATTGAAAGTGTAATAAAATATATAGTTAAGTGATAAATATTGTATAAGAGAAATTAGAAAATGACAGGAAAGTTGCAAAAGAAATCCGAATAGAGAATTATTTCATACAATTGAGAAAAGGCAGTTTGCACTAGAATAACAAATAAGGCACAAAATATACAAAAACTTTCTAAAAACACAACAACAAAAAAATAGTAACATTTTTTTTCATTTATATTGTTGGATTTATTATTACGATTTTTATTTTAATGAAGGAATTAAAAAAAATTTTTCAAGGATTTCAAATATGGATAATTTAATTAAAAAAAAAAAAAAAACCAAACCGCAATTAATTTTCTTCTTATAATTATAAAAAGAAATAAAAAAAATTTTAATTGAAAATAAAAAAATATACTTAAGAGAAAACCTTTGATAATAAATAAATAAGAAAAAAAAATACTTTTTTTATTTATATATAAAACATTCATTATCAATATTGCTTTTAACAAATCAATAAAAATCTGTCCTTGTCCTTTCTCAACTTTTTACGCGTTAAAATACAAGAGTATTTAATACGAACGTGATCGATTGATCGTATACTACATATATATATATATATATATATATATATATATATATATATATATATATATATAAAGATACATTATTAAAAAGATTGAGTCAAGTTTTCTAATCGCAGAAGTCTATGAAGAATATTATCACACCTAAAAATCTATTGATTCGCGATATACATATATTTATATTGCAATCGTTGGAAGATTTGTGCAATAATAATATTGCAACATTAATATATATAGTCAGGTTTGGGTCAATCCGTGGGAACCACCGCGCGCGTTTATTTGTAAGCTTTGTATGTGGCAAAATAGTAATTATTATCTCAAAGTAAAACGTGCTGTTTTTCAAGAAATAAAAAAAAAACAATGACGAGACGTGCTATAAATATAACATTATACTTTATACAATTGATTACAAATCTTATTCTCTATTTTACTATATAATGTTCATTATATGCTATCATTGCTAATTGTACATTCACACATTGGTTTTGTAATAAATTAATTCTAGTAATGAGTATAGAATTTCTATTTTAAATAATTTACTAAAATTGTTCATGGGAATAAAAAAAAAAAAAATTTTATATCGATCTTTTACTATATTAATCAAAACTCAATTGATAAAAAAAATTATTAATTCTAACTATCATTCATCCTAAGTATCAATGATCATAACTATTTACGATTCAAACAATTATTGATCCTAACTATCATTGATCCTAATTATCATTGATCCTAAATATTATTGATCCAAATTATTATTGATCCAAACTATTATTGATCCAAACTATTATTGATCCAAACTATTATTGATCATAACTATCATTGATCCAAACTATCATTGATCCAAATTATCATTGATCCTAACTATAATCGATCCAAATTATCATTGATCCTTATTATAATCAATCCAAACTATCATTGATCCAAATTATCATTGATCCTAATTATCATTGATCCTAACTATGATTGTTCCAAAATATCAAATTATTATTGATCCCAACTATCATTGATCCAAATTATTATTGATCCAAACTAACATTGATCCAAACTATCATTGATCTAAATCATCATTGATCCAAAGTATCATTGGTCTAAACTTTCATTGATCGAAACTATTATTGATTAAAATTATCATTGATAAAAATTATTATTATTATTATTATTATTGTTATTATTACTGGAAAATAAGAAGCGATTCACAGCATAAGAAAAATATTTATGAAAAATAAATAACCGCAAATTTATGTATATCTATATGTTGGTAATGAAAGTTACACCACCCCATTACACTTCAATTCAGAATCTAATGGTTTCGCAACAACTTTATAGTTACTTGTAATTAGATATTGGTGCAACTCGTTGATTCTATGATTACATGGTTTTCTTGAGAAAGTTCATACATGTATTACGAGAAAGTTATAATCCCAGCAAGGCCAGGGACGGAGGAAGAACTTGATTAAGAGAAAACAAGAGAGAACTTATATATACCTATATATATATATATATACAAATCAGAAATATTAAATGAAAATAAAAAACGATATTAATTTATTGTACTATATTTATAAGTGGAAAAATTTAATATAAATTTTGATAATTTGAAGGGTGGGGGAAATTTAAATTATAAACAAAAAACCAGAAAAAACGAGTTTTCTTTTTTTTTCGTTAAAAAAGATATTTCACTTTTTGGTTGATAAATGATAAAATAAAATCGTTATTTGATGCAAATGCAGTGTTTAAAAAAAAAAGTGCATACACATTCTGTGATAAGATTGCAGATATATATATATAGCGAGGATACCATCATTATCATTGTTTATTCTTTGCTTACATTATACTTTTTTTTTTCTTCCTATTTTGGGTTTGGATATATAGGTTTTTTTTTGCGACGTTTGATTAATTTTATCAATCTTTTGTCACGTTTCCCCAAATATATTTATATTTATAATTATATTTCAGACGCAATTTTTTTATCGGTGACGAAAAGTTTTTGCGCACATTTGGCAAGTTTTATAAATATTTATTACATTTTGTATATAATATATACAAATTTATATATTAAATACGGAAATATTTTAAAAATCAAATATATAAGCAAACATTAAAAAAATTTATATTAAAACATGTAATACCAAAGAAAGTAACAATAAAATTGAAAAAAGGAAGACAGAAAGAAAAAAAGAAAATATTTATATAGAAAAAATTATGGAATTTAATATTTTTAAAAATATTGTCACTAAATAGAAAATATTAGAAAATTAAAATTTAAATAACTAAAAATATTAACAATAATAATAATTTAGAAAAAAAATTATTTATAAAAAAGGGAATTAAAAAAAGGGTTTTTAAAAGTTACGTTCATCAGAATAGGGATATTTATGTAACAATAGATTTAGACGTGGTGAGTGGACCAGTGGGGCATTGTATAAGTATAAAGGGAATGCAAAAACGAAAATTAGAAACTTGCACTTTGCCCAACCTGATGAGCTTCAGAGCTTTAAATAAAACGTTATTTCTCGCTAGACACACTTTTTTCTATTACAAATAAATTTAAATTTATTATTTCTATTAATTTCTTTTTTTTGTTCAGTAAATTAAAAAATAAAATTTTCATATATTTCTATACGGAAATTTTTTTTACTCAACAAAAACGTTTAAATTAAAGTCACGTGATCGGTGCAATTCGAACATTGTTGCGCATCACTCCTATAATCTAATCATTTTTAAAAAATTTCTAATTCAAATTTTTTACCATCATTGTTATTATTATATTTTAGACTTCTCAAAACAAAAAAAATTGCAACTCAATTTATTATTCAAAAAAAAAATCCAAACTATCATTGATCCAAATTATCATTGATCCAAACTATCATTGATACAAATTATCATTGATCCAAATTATCATTGATCCAAACTATCATTGATACAAATTATCATTGATCCAAATTATCATTGATCCAAACTATCATTGATACAAATTATCATTGATCCAAATTATCATTGATCCAAACTATCATTGATCAAAACTGTCATTGATCCAAACTATCATTGATCCTTACTATAATCAATCCAAACTATCATTGATCCTAACTATCATTGATCCAAACTGTCATTGATCCAAATTATCATTGATCCTAACTATAATCAATCCAAACTATCATTGATCCTAACTATCATTGATCCAAATTATCATTGATCCAAACTATCATTGATCCAAACTATCATTGATACAAATTATCATTGATCCAAATTATCATTGATCCAAACTATCATTGATCCTTACTATCATTGATCCAAACTGTCATTGATCCAAACTGTCATTGATCCTAACTATAATCAATCCAAACTATCATTGATCCTAACTATCATTGATCCAAACTATTATTGATCCAAATTATCATTGATCCGAACTATCATTGATACAAATTATCATTGATCCAAATTATCATTGATCCAAACTATCATTGATACAAATTATCATTGATCCAAATTATCATTGATCCAAACTATCATTGATACAAATTATCATTGATCCAAATTATCATTGATCCAAACTATCATTGATCAAAACTGTCATTGATCCAAACTATCATTGATCCTTACTATAATCAATCCAAACTATCATTGATCCTAACTATCATTGATCCAAACTGTCATTGATCCAAATTATCATTGATCCTAACTATAATCAATCCAAACTATCATTGATCCTAACTATCATTGATCCAAATTATCATTGATCCAAACTATCATTGATCCAAACTATCATTGATACAAATTATCATTGATCCAAATTATCATTGATCCAAACTATCATTGATCCAAACTGTCATTGATCCAAACTATCATTGATCCTTACTATCATTGATCCAAACTGTCATTGATCCAAACTGTCATTGATCCTAACTATAATCAATCCAAACTATCATTGATCCTAACTATCATTGATCCAAACTATTATTGATCCAAATTATCATTGATCCTAACTATCATTGAATCAAATTACCATTGATGAATATTATAATTAAATGTTTAAGTAGTAAAGTCCGAGGAAAATAGTTTTTTAAAAATAAAATCATTGTTATTATTATATTTTAGACTTCTCCAAAAAAAAAATTGCAACTCAATTTATTATTCAAAAGAAAAAAATTCAGACAAATTTTCTATTGCGTCGATCACGTGACCTGACAGTCACATGGCGTTAATTGAATATTATTTCTAACCTGGAATATAATGATGAAAATGAAATCCTTTTGCCTTCCTTGTTGTAAACACTTCATTTTGTAAACACTGACACTCGCGATAAATTAAAAAAAAAAAAAAAATTTTAAAGAAACTTCCTAACATACGAATAAACAAAACTGAGAACCACACTAGAATAACTGAGTTCCTTTGAATTAATTCCATGTGCTTGATTTCAATATGGCGATTCTGAAAAAAAAAGTGCGCGAACATTACAAATTTGAATGAATGTAACATTTTATTTTTTTTTTACAGAAAATAAAATAGAAAATAATTCTAAAATGAAAAATTATATTATTATTAGTTGATATTATTTTTTAAAACAGTATTTAAATATTTTTAACATTTTTTCTTTCCTATTACACAAAAAAAATAATAATAATAAAGAAACTATTCTTATAAAAGAAAAAATTTCCCCTTTCATTTTTCTTATAGATTTATTATTATTTTTTTTCGCAATTTTTATTTCATTTGTTCATTATTTTTTTTAAACTTAAATTAACAAGAAATATAAAAAATAGAAGAAAATTCTAAAATATAAACACCGATTTGATTGAGGCACGTGTTCACCTCGATTTTGTAATAGATTGAACACGTGTATTTGCGATAGAGCAAGAAAGAAAGAAAAAGAGGGAAATAAAGAGAGAGAGAGAGAGAGAGAGAGAGAGAGAGAGAGAGAGAGAGAGAGAGAGAGAGAGAGAGAGAGAGAGAGAACTGGCGAAAAATATTTCCGCTTGGGAAAATAGCCAAATGACAATTTACGTTTCAAGATATTATATATATATATATATATTTTCAAAGTTCTTCTCTCGTTAAGTTGGAGACACACAACGCGGAATATTAATTTTCACAGGCATTAACATTATTCAATGTATTCACTCGTTCGTTCATAATATGTAGCAAAATGTTTTTGACATTCAAGAGACAAGTTCAAGAGCTTTAAAAGATTATAATACTTTGTTGCTGAGTGAAAAATGTTTTTATTTGTAAATTATATTTTTTTTATTTCTTCTTTTATGTTTTTTTTTTCTTCAATACTTTCTTTTTTTTATTAAAATTATTTATTATTATTAATTTATTATTATTTTATTATTAAATTATTATAATTATTATTTATCCGTTACAATTATTATTTATTTATTATAATTTTTATTAATTAATTAATTATATTTTATTATCATTTTCCTCTCCTTTTTTTCTTCTTTGCACAACTTCCATTTTTATTAATTCAACTATTAGTGAGTAATTAATATATTTTTAATTTTGTATTAAACCAAGTTCACTTCTGGGCCGAAACTTAATTAATAAATAATATTAGTGAGTAATTAAAAATATTAGACAGACATGCAATATTTTTTTTTTTCTATATAAAAAGAAAATATAAAAAAAATAATGGTTGAATTTTTCTCCAAGTTAATGATACTTGGTAAATGTGATTAATTTAATATAGAGGACAGTGTGACGTTAACATGTCCCTCTAAATGAATAAAGAAAAAAAAATAAGAAAAAGAAAAAAAAACATAAAACACTTGGGACTTGGCATCCTTGTCCTCGTGAAAGACTATATAGTTGGTCAAGTTTCTCGGTATATAATTGTTTAATCACATCATTAAGGCGCTAGTATATAGTGTATATAATGAGTCTTCGCAGTCATTCTATAATAGTAAGTGCAAAATCGCCTCGACATATGGTCGCACAAAGAATGACTGAATTCTTCCATTCTTTGAATTCTTTGTTAAACACGCAAAACTTTGGTGTTGAAAATTGAATCTTGAGGACAAAGAAAACATTGCAATTACATTGCCCTTGCCACTTGATGAATTTCATGGCTATTTTCATTTTATTTCCTTTTTTATTTCTCACATAAAAGAATCTATTTTTTTCGATATTTCCACTATTAATAATTATTATTTATTAATTCCATAAATTTTTAATTCAAAAAAATTATTTTATATAATATAAAATTATTATAAAATTAATTATTAATTATTATAATTATTATAATTAATTATTATAAAAAATTATTTAATTTAATTAATAATTATTAATTAAGTAAATAATTATTTATTTTTAATTATTCGTTGAATAAATAATTTTTTAATATAAGAATAAAATAATTTTTTTTTTGGTGAAATAAATTATAAAATTAAATAAAATCTTTACGGTGATTGTAAAAAAAATAAAAAAAAATAAAACTGTTTTATAACAAGCATACCTTTTTCAATGCATCATTTTACCTTGCAAAATACAATTATAACGGTATATGTCATAGTAACCATTGAAGTCGCGCAGATAAAACAGATAAGGAATGAGTTAACGAGAAGTTTGATTTCGTAGAATTTTCCGTTTTTCCTTTTTTTTTCCCAATGTATATATATATATATTTATTTATTTATTCTCACGTAAGCAAGAGACATACAGACGAAACTTTGCGGTTATATACTATAATGTAAGTGTAACCAAGGTCAGTGATATAATCATTAGTTGCGGAAATTCTTCGTCTCATGACCTTCTTTATAACCGAATGAAAAAAGAATAGAGCACGGAAATACTTAAAGCCATTGCACCACAAATAGAATGTAATTTTTCCTGATTTTTATTGATACGAAAAAATTGTCATTTATTTAATCTCAAGTTTCCTTATAATAACAATTGTCATTCTTTGTTCTTTCATTTTATTTTTTTTGCCTATTTTCATATAAATAAAAATAAAATTTTTTTTTTTTGAATTTTTTTCATAAAAAAAAAAATTTTCCGCTTATTTTTATTTTAATTTATTAGTATTGATAACTTGCTTGAATTTTTTTTTTCTTATTTAATAGGTCAATGTACTCATTTTTTTTTTTTAAATTTTACTATTTGTTTAATATCGTAATATTTGCTTATTTCTGGAATTTTGACTGCTTTATTGACATATAAATTATATAAAAAAAAAAAAAAAAAAATTCATTGTGTTTCAAATGGAGTGAAAAAAAAAAAATTATTTGACTGAGCTGTGCAAGTATTATCTAATAAATATTTATTTAACCCAAATAAATATTTGTTCAATCAAATAATAATTGCTTTAGCTCCAATTTAAAATTTTTAGTTCAAGAAACCTTGGCATTTTCGTATATTTATAAATGTTTTCTAATTATTTAATATAATTTTTTTTTTTTTTTATATAAAAAAATAGATTTTTTTTGTCATATGGGAAATTTTTTCGAATTAATTTTTAATTCATGATAATAATGATGAGAAATGAATAAATTAATTTAAACCTTCAATGATGTTAAATTGCCAACCTTTGTTGCATTGCATAATGAAGATTATACAAGAGTTGCATGCTGTGGTCGGATCAGGGCCAACGCGATATTACGTATTAAATAAATATATAATTGGGTTGGCTGCATCATAAGCTCAATGTCCATGACATAGAATTTTAGTTTCTTACATTGATCTAATATATAATAAAGCTGTCCCTTTTTTTTTTTGCAAAAAAGAATATCTCGTAATTTTATCAAAAAATAAAATTTTTCTGCAAAAATTTTTAAATCACGAGAATTTCTACACTAATTATAGTTTATCTGTTAACGATATAAAAAATATAATTCAAAAAAAATATTATTTTTCTGAGAATTTTTTCTAAAAATAAATTTAAATTTTAAAATTTCTTTTCTATTTGCCTAATTTGTAAAATTTTCTTTATATTTCATTCATGGTTTTTTTTTTTGAAATTCAAAAAGATAAAATATAATTTAGAGAAAAAAAATTGTAATAATGACAATTATAAGAAAAAATGATTTCGTACAACCACTGGATTCAATTTTAATTGACCTTGTTGTATTTCTTCTTGTCATTGCCAAGTTACGTTCCAATAATAACTATACATAATCTTTTGGCTGATGTGAGAAACATACAAAAGTTATAATAGCACCCGATAAGAGGCAAGCAGAAAATAGTAAGTTGAACGACCGTTTTATTCATAGATTTAGAATTTTAGTTCCTAATTCATCAAAGCGATAAAAATAAGATACATTTTTTTTTCTCTCTTCTTTTTTTCTCCTATTAAATGAAATGAAGAATTAGAAATTTTCAAATATAAAAAAAATTTCTACTATAATAAATTAATGTTTATTAAATAAAACAAAATAGAAAAATAGATAATAAAAATTATGTTGTTACAATCGATAAATTAAATATTGAAAATTAAAATTGAAAAAAGTGTGAAAAAAAATCAAAAATTGATTAATGACTAAGGAGAGTTGCTCTATGTGCATTTACGATTGATAGTATTATCGTCTTTTTAGTTGCGCCATATTTGCATAATGTTCGCACAATAGAGAGAAAGAGAGAGAGCAGAACTCATTAATAATATCAAAGTTCGATAAGGAGTTTTACACAAAGAAAAGTGTTTTTTTTTTTTGCACTAACAATGAGTCAATTTAAAATCAGAGTTCTTATCATTAAAACAAGAAATAAATTATTAACAATATTTTAATGCCCTGAAAATTTTCAAGGAGACAAGTAATTAATAACTGAAACTTTGTTGCTATAATTTTTACTGTTTTTTAAAAATGTTTTTTTAAAATTAAAATTTTTTTCAAAAATTAAAAAATTTTTTGGTAAAATTTCGAAAATTCGAAAGAATTTTTTTTTATCGTAGTGGTAAAGGATAAAAAAAAAGAAGAAGAAGAAGAGAGGGAGGGTGAGCAGTGTGAGGATAGAATAAAGGAGAGGGGTGGAGTGAGGAAGGGCGATGGCAGGGCCTTGGACAGACTGTCCTTGACTCAGCACAGTTACCCCGGCCTGAAGTGTGACGTCATTCTGCATAACTCTCCTAATTGCATCGTTGCTGCTGCGCTCCACTATCCCTACTCTTTTTTGTTCTCTCTCTCTCTCTCCTTCCTCCCTCCCTTTTTTTTAACAATCCAGACTTTTCCCCTACTTTCCCTTTTCTTTTTTTTTTCCACCCCCTTTTTTAACCCCACCCAACTTAACACACTACTTCCACTAATTAGTTCATTAAGCTTATAACTAAATTCCCACCTTTCTCTTAATTTCTCCTATTATCTCCTTGTTAATTCCATTTAAACAAGCGACAAAAAAAAAATTTTTTTTCACTATTTAGATTTGAAATTTAATTTCAAATTTTTATATTAAAATAAAAAAAAGCTAAAAATTTATAAAAATTAATTAGAAATAAATTT